GAGGGCTAATTCTTCTTCTTCCTCCGTAGCGAATAATGCTTCAGCATCCCAGCCATCTTCACTATTCTCCTTCGAACTGAAAGTAGCAGTATTACTTTCAACAGGCTCTTTCTTGGTCCAACAATCTTTCGCCATGTGGCCCATCTTCCCGCAGTTGTAACACTTGCCACTAAACTTTTTACTATTACCGCGATTCTTCCAAGCTCCCCTGGACGAGAGCCTCCATTTTCTTGGTGACTTTGCACCTTTTCTCCATCCTTTTTAGATCCACTACCAGTGTACCGCTTGAAGGTGCCTTTGCTTTTGTTGGTGTAGAGCGCTTCCTCTTCACTCTTCAGTGAGACTCCTCCCATTTGCTTGGCCATAGCTTCTTGACCTGCAAGCAAATTTTTAAACTCAACAAGCGATGGTTGTGTCGGCCATCCTTGTATAGCGGCAATGAACCCTCGATATTCGGGTCTCAAACCATGGATAATTATTCTCTTCATCCTGGTTTCCCCAATAGGAGCTGTTGGATCTAATTCTGAAATTTCGCGGCATATCGACTTCACCTTGTGAAAGTACTGGGCAATCGTCATGTCGCGTTGTACCATCGATAACAGCTCATTCTCGAGAAGTTGCAATTTTGTATCGTTCCTCTTCGAAAAGAGTGTAACAAAAGTGTCCCATGCTTCCTTTGGCGTTTTAGCATCCCGAATGTGCTCCAACATTTCTTCTTCTATTGTGGTCTTTAAAGCAAACATTGATTTGCCTGCTTTAATTTTTCACTTCCGCAAGACGTCGTTAGCATCTTCCGCTGCCGGTTGTGTAGCTTCACTACCACCGACAACCTCCCACAAGTCTTGACCTTGAAGGTAAGACTCTATACACGTTACCCATGTGTTATAGTTTTGGTTGTTGAGCTTCTTGATTCCTCCAACAACTTGAAGATCACCCATCGTATCGGCAAGACTTTGACTACACCGAACAAGCTTGAGTGACTACCGTGCAGAGTAATACACTACTCTCGACATAAAGAAGCTCCCTCTCAAGGTTTGTGATAACCCCAGCAATAATCTCAAGAAATTTTTTCTGATGTGGAAGATCAGTCAAAACTGCAACCACAGAGCATACTCGGAATTTCAAGAGACTTTACAACCAATGCTCTACCAAGAACGATCCCTGACCGACTTGGCTCTAGATACCAATTGTTGAATAAGAAGAGTATCCAAGATAACTCTAATGATCCCAAGAAGAAGAAAATAGAGCACACTCTTAAAGAAAGCTCACAAAACAAACTAATTAGCAAAGCTTTTCTTATTTAGCTCTAGGCTTTGTTTTTCCTTGAATGATATACAATGCTTGGGGACTTGGGTATTTATAGCAAACCAAATGAAAGCTACATCACACACTTAATTAAACTAAGATTATTTACTACCACACAAAACCCATTAATTTCACCTAATTTTTCCACTCAACCATACCTAACATTTGTGACATTGATTAATTGCATAGAGCACTCAACACTACACGCCAACAACTCCGGATTCCGGCCAAAACAACTTGCAGTCACCTCGCCTCTCTCCCTTCTACAATCTCATATCAACAATCGGCCTTGCAAGCAGTCATATGAGGCGAATTGAACTCCCTAAGTTTATCCAATATTGTCGGTTCATTCACTCATTCTCTCCATGATCTACAAGACCCACATCTCATCTAAGCTCAACACATGCCCAAATCGAAAGTGCCATTAAAGAGAAGGCAAGTTTGGGTTAACGCGGGCCGGAGCTGGCAGATGCACATAGAGGAGGTGCCAATTGTTCAACACCATGACTCCTCTCCTTTATAAATTCATAGATTTTAATGGAATTTTATTCGATTTTTAGAGATTCTATGCAAAATAATACATGTGCATATTTTTCCCGTATTATACATATTTTGTATTTTACTAACTATATTGGTGCATCTTGGATTTCTTTATTAGAGATTCAGGGCAATGTGTCTACTCCCATGGATATATGCTTCTCCTTAATTAGATTTCATATACCCAATATCAGTAGACTATGTATAATTAAGAAGCAAATACTTTCCACCATATGTTTGATATGGTGAATGCATGCATGTTGCAGATATGTTGTTCAAAGTTAAAGCCAAATATCTCCCCAGTATATTAGTCCTCCAAATGTTAAAGAAGCTAAACAGAGAAGAAAATTAAAAATAAGTCCGGATAAATTCATGTTTTGCAGCAAAACAAAGTCAAACGGACACACTTAAAAAGGGAATCCATATAGAACCTAGATATCATTTCTCCAGGAATTCAATTTGACAAGTCGTCGAACCCTTTGAAAACATTGAAATTTCCTGGCATAGTTTCACCTTGTCTTTTACGCGGAAGTCGCACGTATAAATCGTGACCTTATTCAGGACTTCGCCATGCTTCAACAAGTACTTTGTCACTTCTGTCTCATCAGGCCGGCCGTGGATTCCTCGAAGGCAAATAGTCTTGAGGTGCGACAACAAACAAATGGGCACAAACTCAGGTGGAACCCATTCACATACCAAGAGATCACGATAATTTTCCAACGTACATTCCTTGTTCTGAAGATAGTTCAAAAATAAAAGAGTGAAATTAAGGTCTCTGAAATCTACTCCCCTATTTACCATATGCATTTAGATTTTAGAGTGAAAAGTAGATCCACAAATACTTACATTATAAACATGAAGATGTTCCAGATGGGGCGATATCTTGAGCAAATCTATGAGTGATTTCCAATTGCAGCAAGTAAAAAGAAGTAGCTCCAAATGGTTCAAACGATTCAGTTCAGGCAGATGAAAACCATCTTCAGTGTGACATTCAGGATCCTCCAGAATCATAAAGTATTAAATGTCACTCCAAGATTCTTGAAAACTCAAATACTTCCTCACCAGTGCATATATATTATATATAACTAATTCCACCGATAAATTTCAGCATCATAGAAAGACTAGGTACGAAGAACCCGTTCGATAATCATTTTCATCTAATTTTTATTTTTCAGTATAGATAGGGAAAAATATGTGGAAGATCTATGAGGAATGAAGAATCTGATGAAGATAAGAATGATGGAGATAACAATTAAGCAAAGTTTTCAATTGTGGATACAAAGTCATGCAAACAAGATCAAGCAAAATCATACTTTGTGATTACAAAATCAAGGGTCTATTGTATAGGCACTCGTTGTATAGCCTAGCTTTTATTACATCTAGTTGGGAGCTGATGCCTTTATTGCCATGAGACTCCAACACTCCTATATAAGGAGTTTCTTGTACCATTTCTAAGTGAGACACATAAACAAATTATTTCTCCAAAACAGAGCTTAATTATTAGTTTTCAAATACCATTCTCTTCATAATCGTGTTGGAAGGATTACAGAAGGAATGTAATGGAATTTATACATGATAACACATAAATGAAAACTAAAAAGTTTAAATGTCAAAATGGTTTATGTGTTATAGTCATATGACTAATTTAGTCATCGTGTTTGTCTCTGTTATCTAATTAAAGACATTTTATTCAATCTTTGTTAAAAAATTCATAAGAAAAATTATAAGAGATATAATTACTCTTTCTCTTTATAGAAAAATGTAAATCAATGACAAATAACACATATAAGAGATAAAATTTCTAATCTGAAAAATGATTAAGGTTGTGACATAAAAAAAAAAAAAAAAAGAGGGGGTAACGTTAGGGTCCAGGGAGGAGGTCGGAGAGTTGGGAGGAGAGTATTTTTTTTCTTTTGATTTTTCATTTTGTTTCACTTTTAAATATTTTAAATCAAATAAATAATTGTATAAATAAGTTTATAATAATTTTTAATCTTTTTTGACAAAAATTAGAAGGAAATTAATGTGACATCCCACATCGTCCAGGGGTGATCCTTATATGTATATTCACATTCCTACCTAGCACGAGGCTTTTTGGGAGCTCACTGGCTTCGGGTTCCATGGGAACTCCGAAGTTAAGCGAGTAGCGCGCGAGAGCACTCCCAGGATGGGTGACCCATCGGGAAGTTCTCGTGTGAGTTCCCAGAAACAAAACCGTGAGGGCGTGGTCGGGGCCTAAAGCGGACAATATCGTGCTATGGTGGTGGAGCGGGCCCGGGAAGTGGTGCCGCCCGGGCCGGGATGTGACAATTTGGTATCAGAGCCTAACCCTGGCCGTGGTGTGCCGACGAGGACGTCGGGCCCCTAAGGGGGGTGGATTGTGACATCCCACATCGCCCAGGGGTGATCCTTATATGTATATTCCCATCCCTACCTAGCACGAGGCCTTTTGGGAGCTCACTGGCTTCGGGTTCCATGGGAACTCCGAAGTTAAGCGAGTAGCGCGCGAGAGCACTCCCAGGATGGGTGACCCATCGGGAAGTTCTCGTGTGAGTTCCTAGAAACAAAACCGTGAGGGCGTGGTCGGGGCCCAAAGCGGACAATATCGTGCTATGGTGGTGGAGCGGGCCCGAGAAGTGGTGCCGCCCGGGCCGGGATGTGACAATTAAACACAATGACCAAATTGGTCAAATTGAAAACACAAAGACTAAATTGACCCAATGACTAAAACACATGGACCATTCTAACGTTTAAGCTAAACTAAAAATCAAAACTGCAAACACTTTGTTTTTAGTGCAACGATATATTTTATACTAAGGGGAGGGAGAAGTTCGGCTAAGCCACAAAATAGGCAACCTAATTTGGTATCGAATTCGCTATCCACGAGATTTGAACCTAAGACCTCTCACTCGCAGGTAAAGAAGAATATCATCAAATCGTAATACTGAGTGGCAACTGCAAACACTTTTAAGTCGTTTTTAGTTTCTCGGTTTTGTTTTCGGTTATTCTCCTTCATTTCTCCCTCTTCCGTCCCCCTGCCTCCCTTCATCTATCTTCATTCCTCATTTCTCTAATATATTTTCTCTGCCGTTAAAAATGAAAACTCAAACATAAAAACAAAATGATTATCAAACGAGTGACAAGGAAACGAGTTTAAGTTACAGAAAACTTACCCCGAAAAGTGGAGCTGAAAGTGACAGATATTTCACATTGAGAAGTCCTGCAAAAAGCCTTTCCAGACGATCAACACAACCAAGTTCATAGTCAATGTACCCAGACGTGTGCACATATTCGAGATCAATCTTGGCTTCGCTGAGTGAATTTGCATTCAAAATATAGTTTGCTACAAAATCAGCCTCGAGATCAAACTTTTCAAGATTTGGAGCATTAACATTGAAAAAGATATTTGATTCGGATCCTTCCCAAAAGTCGTCTTCCGCCAAGAATATTTTCAGTCTGTTTAGTTCAGGTGCCTCTATATTAAAATTCAAAACTTTACTAGCTATAATATCTCCTCCTATGATCAATTCTTCAAGTGCAGGGCAAGAAGTAAAGAGCTTCTCCATTGAGTCAGCATCAGGATCATAGACTTTAGCATGGAAGAACTTAAGACTTGGGAAACAATCTGATGTAGGAGTGAAGGTAATATTTGATTCCAGCAAAAGCTTCAAAACGACCAGCGTTTTACACGTGAAAAGATTTCTAGCCAACTCAAAAGGGCGGCCAAAAGAATACAGAACAAGTTCGAGTTCAACAACATTAAGCCTAATGGCAGTCCTTATCCAAGCATCAATAAGAGGATAATTCTTCACCCCAGAGCAACAAAGACGGAGTCTGTGAATTTTGGACGAGCCACGAATGGAGAGTGCACGATCTACAAACTCTGCAAAAGCACTAGAGAGACGGAATTCATGATTGTTGAACGGGCTATGAATGCAGAGTGCACGATCGACAAACTCAGAAAAACCAACTGGGTTAAATTCTCTTTGATAATGCTTATCACAAAGGTCTAGAGTGGGAACATGAGCCCACACATTCCTCCATCTCGGTGATATAATACTGGTCCTTGCAGCTTCTTTAGTTGACAGGCTGGAAAGAATGCCGCAGATAATTTCATCTGGTAATGCACTGATTCTATCTTTGTTGCATGCATTGGCATACTTTAACTTTGATTTCGAACCCATTTATAGAAAGATACGCTTCCTGAAAAAAAAGAACATGTTTCTACACTTACAACGCAGGAAAACTTTCCCATTCCTTCAAGTAAAATACCTTTTTGGAATCTTTTTCCTCTTCGAAAACCTAACTGATTGTGGTCAATTACAAGTGAAAAAAAAAAAAAATCACTTTCATTGCGTTTGGGCTTCTAATGAACAAAAGATACTATACGTATACGATTTGGCACTTTGTTTTTCTTTAAGTTATGTTTGGGTGAGAGAATCATGTAAATATTTTCTTTGTAAAATAAGGGTAAGATTGTGTACAATAGATGTTTTTCCTACAAGTGTCACTAAGCGAGGAGCCTTGTTGACTTGGGATCGCCCTTATGTTTGGGTGAGAGATTTTGAAGGCAAATTCATCTTCAATGCATGTTTAGGCAAAATGAAGATGAACTAGATCACAAAGGGTTAGATGACAGGAATAAAAAAAATGCACCACATGAGTGTTACAAACATATATGTAAGAAGGGATTTGTAAAAGTATGGTTGAGGATATTTCTAATCCCTAGAAAATGCACCAAATGACTACTTGAAGGAATCATTTGCAAAATCCTCTCACATGCGTATTATAATGCTCATGTAATGTATTTCTAATCCTTCCTACCAAACTTTATATGATCTATTTTATTATATACCTAAATCCCTTGCAATTTGAAATTTCTTTCCCCCAAACATGCCCTTAGTTTCTGCAGGCATCCGAACAAAGAATGATGTAAGACATGACTAAATTTGTAGAACATGGAGATTGTATAGAGAAAACATAAATTTAAACAAATAAAGGTTCAAAGACAAATCTAATGGGAGAGGAAAGGGTTATTCTCTTGTGGGTTCCAACTTTTAGCCATTGACTATTTTAGCCCTACATTTTGTATCATTATTTTAGCCTACATTTGAATCACAGTAGAAACTGGTTTTCGTCATTTGGGAAAAGTTAGCCCGAGTTGGTTTGCATGTTGTAGACTGCTCCTAGTTCCCCATCAAAGATATTCAAAAACGAAAAATGTATGATATTACTCTTGAGATAACATAAAGTAAAACAAACAAAGGATAAAGATAGATCTGGAATATAAAAACACTATAGGCCATTCCACTTACGTTCCTCATTAGAGAATATATAATCGAATAAGGAATTATATGATAAATTGATATTTAAATAGGTGAAAATACCATATCATAAATTGATATTTAAATAGGAGAAAATACATGATATGGTTACAGATCTAATTTTATAACGAAAATATCTATAATTTATTTCCAAAAGAAATGTTGAAAACTAAATTGGCTAGACTAGGTTGGATTCAATTTGAAACTGAATTTTGTCATTTGGGGGCAAAATAACAATCTAGCTGCTTGGGCTGGTTTATATATTCAATAAGGATCAATACATGAAATCACTCTAGAGAGAGCATAAACTAAAACAAACAAAAGACAAAGTTAGATCTAGAACATAACAAACTTCAAGGCCTATTTTACTTCGATTCCTCATCAGAGAGTACATTATATATAAAGAATCATAGGATAATAGAGAAGATATTAGAAACAAAAAATACCTGATATCGCTCTAGATCTAGATTTGTTGTGCCCGTCTCTATATGATTTGCTGAGAACAACTAGAAGACACAGAAAGATGAAAAATTGAAGAAATTTTGGAATTTCTCCTCATAATGTTGATTAATGACACACCCTAGCCGGAATATCTACAGGGATACTGAAATCAAGGTAGGTTGGCCGATACTTGAATCGAGAAGAAGTCATAAGATGAAGGTGATGCGAAAATGTACAAAAATTAAAATTGAAATGAAAAGAAGAGTGTGCTGGAGGATGAATCCTTATTAAAATGCATGTCAGAGCATAGATAACAGTGCATCAAAAAGAATATTCTAATCTTGAAAGGGCCTGAAAAGGAGGGATATTTATAGAAAATAACGGAAATTAATTTTCTATATTATCGGAATTGAATTTAGTGAATGTCATAAATCATTGTCTCCACCACAGTACAATTACTAAATCCTGGAAAATAGAAAATGTGAGTAAGCAAAAATAAGAGTTTTCTATAACCATTTGTTTTTCCGAACATAGTAACCCCTCACTATAAAATCATGTATAGTTTCTAAAATCATACTATATAGTAAGTACGAAACCCAAGGATCAATGATATAGGTACATTGCAATATAATATCAAATAATATGATATGCTCATAAAAAAATGCAAGCACACGAGTTCATGCATAAAGTATTTACATAAATAGGTTGGGTGTAAAAGTTTACGTTATAGTACAATATAGACATGAAGCTGGCGCTGACCGTGTCACGTGCGAGTCCTAGTTGCCTAATGTAAAACTAATACAGGCTGACACCTACAATAAATCAATTGTGAACGTAACAATGCATTTAAACATACACATGAAGTTGGTCCTGGCCCTGGATAGTATTATAGTTATTGTGTACTGTAGATACCGTGCGAACATACATGATGAGCAGATAAAGTATGTATATTATCATATCATAGTTTGATCCATAAAATTCATAAATCACAACAATAAAAATGTATACAACTTTATGTATTTTTCTAAGTAAAAGTTATAGCATGATATGCGAGTGTTCATAAAATAGTTATGAAAAATAAAAAAAATAGTATAGTTGGAAACAAAAGCCAACTCAATACGTGGTGGGATTTAGCCGCCTTAACTTGTTTGCCCTCTAAATTCTTTGGGATAAATCTCTCCTATATGAGAAACCACTATACTAAGCAACAACTAAGGAAAAACTTGAAATCTCCCTTTGTTTGCTCGTTTTGGGAGTTTAAAATGTTTGAAAAAGGGAAAAATACATGATAAAAATGGGTCTATATCGAGAATTATTGTGACTCTCAACTCTATTTGGGTGTTGAGAAACAACAGGAAAATGAGAAGTTGGGGAACTTCTAGATTTTCTCCCTATAGTTTTGATTAGTAACTAGCAAATGTATAGCAATTTTGACAAACATATTGAGAAAGACAAAATATAAATGTATGAAAAATATCTAAACTTATTGGGCCAATGTTAGATTAGGACAAATATGAGCCCATCATTCTTTTAGCCTGGGTTGGTTTGGTTCCCTTTAGAAATTTTTTTTTTAGTAGTTGGGGAATATGAATATTACTCCCCATTTTGTAATATTATACTCTCTTATATTTAACGTACAACTCTACCCAAGTAGTGTCGAAAGTGTGAATTCCACATAAAAAAAATTGAAAATTGCAATTAATCAAACTCCAACTTTAGGGCTTAGAAGTGACCTTTAAACAGTTGAAGGAGAAAATTTGGAATTCACCCAACCAGTATCTCATTTCCCGTCTCACTCCGAGAGTATGAATTCCTGTTAGAGTAAATATAGAAGTATAGAGAATAATTCTAATGATGACTTTGAGGTACGACTTGAATCGTTTCCTTAAAGTGTTATTTGCCCCCACTCGAATGAGTTTGCTAAAGGGTTCTTGGTAAGTCACTTCTAGGATACAACAAAGTATGAAATATTTGATTAGTAAAATCGAATTGTATTCCCTTAGAAATAACTAGAAAGAAATTGTATAAATGTGATGGAAAGAAAAGAGAGCAAGGAATGTATAAACAAATTTTTGAAAATTGTGTGTGAAATATTATGCCACAATAGGTATTTATAGGCATTAAAGCACCCGTTCATCAAGTCCTTTCATTTTAGTTGAAAATATACAACCCTTCTTAATAGTATTGACCCAAAAGACATGTTTTCTGTTTAGAATTTTCAGAAAATAAATATTGATTATTTATGTCTTTTAATTCTATTCATACAATTTGAGTAAGCATCATGTCTTTTAATCAAAAGTTATAGTTCAACCAAAAGATACAAGGTTGAATTAAATCCAACCTTTTGGTACCATCATTTTCGTACACACATTATGCACAATGCAGCACCAATATATATTATATTCATATATATACACATATAATATATATATATATATATATATTATGGTATATCATATGCTGCAATGCTTCACTCGAAGAGAAGCAACAGTTGGGCAAATACCCAACTTTTCAGCCAACAAATATATGAATATATTCTTGAAATATTCAACAATCCTTCCCTATTTTAAGAATATAAAATAGTATTACAATAATTCTCTCTTTATAATTAATCACAAGCATTCCGATATAATCATGCATACAATAAAGGTGTCTTTCGAATTAAACCTTTAATTAGTGTAAGTAATTCAAAATTATAATGAATGTGATGGTGACCTAAGTTTAAACCACCTATTCTTATGTTAAAACCGGAACAACTACACATATGACTATATCTTATTTCCTTAAAGAAATTTCTGAACTAATGAAGCATTATTATGGCCTTGTGCTTCATCCTAGTTTCATGAACATTTATAAGAGAAAATCCAACTCTTGATAGAAGCAGCACCACTTCTTATGTTCATATAGGTGAGGTTCCTTCTCATATCCTTACTACTATAGACATAACTACAAATAACCTCATTAAGAGATAAAACTCATCCTCCTAAACGTAGCAGTCTTGCACTGATCATCTTGGAATGAGCTATATATTAATTCTCAGTGCATTCACAACCACTTAACAATAATTTGTTATTACCCATTAAACTTTTAAATTAGTGAAGTTCTAGACAAAGTCGGGTTACCATTATAGGTGGCAAATTTTCAGTAAAGGATTTTAGCCCCATTCCACTAAATGTACTAACTACCAAAGCTCTTGAAAGTGCCTTCGTTAACGGATCCGCCAAGTTATTACTTGATTTATCATAAATAATATTAATAACTCCATCAGTTATTAATTGCTTGACATATTCATGTCTCAAGCTAATATGTCTGGACTTTGCATTGTATACCTTATTGTATGCTCTAGACAAAGTAGCCTCACTATCACAGTATAAGGAAATGGATGACATTGGTTGTGGCCACAACTCTTTTTCCAATAA